GCTCCAGCCTTCGCGAAGATATCCAAACATTCGACACTTTGGAAGCGGCCAAGGTCAAGATTCCCGCGCTTATTGAAGGTCTAATTTGCCTTTATGCACTCCCCAGCCGCTACGAGAACATTGCGCAGATGCTGGTCCAAGCTACCTCTGCTGACAACATGGGCATAGGGGCGGTACGGGAAGCAGTTACCACTGCTTGGGACCAGTCTCAAGGCAAGAAGCCGGAGAAACTCGGTGCGCACAAAATCTCAGCGGTGAAGCGTAAGCCGGGTGATCCCTCCTTTTCTTCGCAGCAGCAGCAGCGCCCTCAGGGCAGCAGCAGCAATGCGCGAGATGGGAAAAGGCGCCCTTATCGCGGCAAGCGCGCAGGCAAGAAGCGTCAAGGGCAAAACCATGATCACCACCATGCCCACGACGTCTTGATCGCCTCGACCGTCTCCCTTCCTCCTCCGACTATCGCTCACGTCCTCGACATTGCGCCTACCGGCAGCAAGACTCGGACGGTCAAAGAGCAAGGTCCGTTCCACCCGCCTCCTTCGGCGGATACTAGTCACTACAACAACAAGCGTATCAAGAAAGCCTTCAAGCTCGCGCGGGACCTCGACATAAGTCCCACTGAAGAAGACATCAAGGTCTTGGACGCTCTAGTCGGGCAAGTCGACCCGGACCCGGATGTCGACATGGAGGACGCCGACTCTGTCGCCTCCAGCCGCGCGTCCAAGCGCGCTCGCTTTGAAGAACTCGCTCGCGCGGATGACGCTGCGGACAGCGACCACAATGACAACCAGTCCATCGACTGGGGTAGTGACAAGGACCAGGGGGAGACTGTTAGTCTCGGCGACGAGGAAGACCTGGACCGCACTATTGCGGAGGCTGCTGGTTTTGACCAGAATGCCTTTATTGACGAGCACTACTCGTACGTGCCATCTTCCCCTTTACAGGACTCCACTGACGCGCCATCACAGTTAGGGCAGCGTAGTGTAGATCTAAATTTGAGTCCTGTAACGTTGGCATTAATATATTGCACTCATGCGCAAACTTATGCTGCGTGTGCAAAATGTAAGGGGAAAGATAAGGCACAACAGGGTAACACCTGGATCCTCGACTCGGGGGCCTCTCGGCATTTCACCTATGACATGAGTGATTTCATCGATTATGAGGAATTTAAGCAACCTGCGACCGCGTCTACAGCGAACGGGTTTGCACGAATACTTGGGTTTGGTACGACGGTCCTGAATTATTATATCAAGGACGTCGGGAACATAACCACTCGGTTATTTCCAGTATACTATATACCTGACCTGAATATTCGCCTCATGTCACTCGGAGTATTGCTCCAGGATAAGTTAAAAGTGTCTGGCAATGATCAACACATAAGTCTATACGAAAAGGGATTGCGCGAACCTTTATTCAGGTTTTTACCGCGGCAGCCCGGCGACACTATCTACAGTGTCAGTACAATTCCTGCACCGGATGCGTACTCTATATTCCCAACGATCTATGCGGTTGATTATGGGATTATGCACCGTCGCATGGGACACCCCTCTAAGGAAGTCCTGCGGCAAGCTAGGGAACACACTAAAGGTTTCCCCACCAATCTGGAGTTTCCATCGGAAGACCCAGTATGCCCTGGATGTGCGGAAGGGAAAATGCCTTCCAAGGCTTTCCCGCCATCCACTCTACGGGCTAAAGAACCGTTTGAGTTAATTCATTCGGATCTTAAGTCATTTCCCGTAGACTCCTACCATAAGTATCGGTACACAATCGTCTTCTTTGACGATTACACCTCCTATGGATGGGTCATGCATATGCGCTCCAAGGGTGCTGCAATTGCTAAGACTCGTCAATTCCTTGCCTACGTACAAAATCAATATGGCAGGAAAATTAAGGAGTGGATGTCCGATGCAGGGGGAGAATACAAATCTGATGCGTTCATCGAGATGCTCAGAGATGAGGGCATAAAAATCCGACAGAGCGCACCTTATGCGCACCAACAGAATGGTCGCGCTGAGCGCTTTATTCGGACTATAATGGACAAAGCGCAGTCAATGCGGCTAGAGTCCTGCTCACCTCCATCTTGGTGGGAATTTGCAGTAGACCATGCTGTTCACGTCTACAACCGGACCCCTTTGAAGCGCCATCAATGGCTGACTCCTTATGAGGTCCTGAACAAAGAAGCTCCCGACATCAAGCACTTACGTGTCTTTGGATGCGGAGCGTACGTCTACCTGCCAAAGGAAACCAGACCCAATAAGTTATCGCCTAAAGCTGAGCTGATGACTTACATTGGTGTCGCTGATGGCGGCCATGGCTTCAAGTTCATGCGCGCCAATAATAGTATAGTCACTCAGCCTACTGCGCTGTTTGACGAAACTATGTTCCCTAAATGCCCTAATACAAAGCGACGGGCAAGCACTAGGCTGCAGAGTGCGCCTAAACCAGCTGACAGTCAACCAGACAATTCTGATGATGACTGGATCACAGATGACGATGAGCCAGACTCACGTCCTCCTCCTAAATCCCAAAAGGGGCCAGGCCAGGATCGTGACGACGAACCTGCGCAGCCTGAGGCGCGAGAGCCTGAAAACCCGCCTTCTCCACCTCCGGGGGATCCTGCGCCACAAGATGAGCCGCGGAGACCGGTGAGAGAAAGGAAACCAGTAACTCGCCCGGGTAATATCTACGGTGAATCGCGGAATCCCGTAGAAACTTATCGCGAGATTGAGTCAGACAAGAAGTGGAAGGATTTAGTTGGCGAAAAATCTAAGACGTCTCGCATACCTCGCCAGTCCAAGCAGAAGCAACAGGTTCCCGGACCTAGCTCTGCCCCTCCACCTCGCGACCCTCCTGCTCAATCCCCGGGTGCTTCGCATGAGCCAGTCGCTCCTGAAGCCTCTGACCAGCGGTCT